CTCCCGGCCCGGTTGTGCCCAGGGGCTCGGCCGGGAGCCCCCCTCCGGACGGCGGGGCCGGGGGGCCAGCAGCGGCATGGAGCAGGCAGCGCCCAAGAGGTAACGACCCTCCCCTCCCGGAAGCGAAGGGTGAGGCCTTGGGCTGGCCCCTCGCCGGCCTCGGGAGGCTCCGGTCCTGGGTGCTGTGAGGGGGGCGGCGGCGGCTGAGACCTCCCCGGCGGCCGGAGGGGTTGTGTTGCGGTCATCTGTAGGGGGGAGACTCCCCAAAATAACCGTCCTGGTTAAACGTCCAGGTGGAGGCAAAGCCTTAGGGGCTGGTTGAGTCACAAGAAGAAGGTTTTAATGTGAAATGAGGGGAAACTTCATCGCCGAGAAGAGCCCTTTGTGGCCGGGGGCGGGGGGGGGCGGTCTGTGCACTTGATAGTTGAGGTCTGTGGAAGAAAGCGACATCAGTAGTTGTTCTTGTCTTTCCACATTAGAAAGTGCCCTTGTGTCCCGCTGGTGGAGAGATGCTTCTGGGGGTGGGCGTTGCATAGTTGCAATTGCAAATCAGGGAGTGGGAAGAGGCAAAAATCAAGAGTATTCCCACAGTTCATGAATCTTCTGAAATATATAGGCTACGTGGTCATATTAATTACTATGCGTGTTTGGTTTTTTTTTTTGAGCATTTATCATTTGACCTCTTTTTGTGTAATGCTGAGAAACCATGAGCTTTTGCTTTAAATGTGACCCTTTCATCTTAGTGCACAAAACAATTTTGCTTTAATCATATTTAATCGTATTAAATTTAATCGTACATTTAAATTGGCACAATCCTTTTTTGGATGTAGTTATATACTACATAGAATGTAGTTGAGTGGTATACGGAATGTAGTTACGCAGTTTACATATATACTTACTGTCTTAGAGCTCCAAGTATTTTACTCCTGCTTCCTGTTAATTTAATGAAAAATCTAGGGACTACACAATATAAATTGGTGGTAGAAGATAATAAATCAGTTTTTACAGTCTACTTTAAAACACTTACATTCTACATTTAAAACCCTTAGTAGTCTTTAAAACAGCTTCCTGCAGGATGACAGGACTTGAGAAGAATGCAGTCTTGAACTATTGTTTTTCCCTCCAATGATACATCAAGTAACAGTATCTACTACTGAAAACTTTGACCAAGAATTGATTCCTAGTTGTTATGCAGAGTGTTTTTAGCAGGCGATGGGGGGAGGAGAGTCAGGCCTACACTGTAGTTTCAGACTGACAGTGCTGCATGTCTCAAATAAAGGAAGTACAGGCACCAGCAAGGGTTTAGGAGAAGAAATGGGAATGTCTGAGGAGTAATCAATGTTACCACCAACAGTGCAAAGTTTGAGATCTGGTGATATCAAAGGATTGAAAACAAAACTTGAAGTTAGCATAATCTACAAGATTTCTTTTGGAAGATCTGGGATTTGCTCTAACTTTATTACCAAGCTGGAGATGTGTGTCTGGCCTAATTGAAAGTGAGGAGCTGTTTAAATCCTTAGATTCAGTTAGGAAGAGGTAGAAAGCTAATGAGAGAACTTCTAAAACCTCTGGCTTTTTTTATACTTCCCATGTTTTTTGAAGCTTATTTCTGGAAATTGAATGTGATGAGAACCTGATGGATTTGTTTCTTTAGTGGGAGGGAAGATTTGAACACAGTTTTTCATAATATATCAACTCAGACTTTCATAAGATTTAAACTAAGTTTTTCATAAATGTCCATATATATCCCTTTATCCATTGTTTTTTACAGTTTTCTGAATGCTTGGCATTCCCAACTATTCTGCTAGGCCACCTGCTTTTTCTGCAAGTCTAGAAGGAATACAGATTATTTTTTGTGGGCTGAATTTTTTTGATGCCTGCCTTGGATGCAGTAGTGGCTTGGGGCGGACATGCCATGTTTACTTGGTGAAACAGATGTGAGCACTAGACTTCTTTACTTTGGTGCCTGCCATCCATAGGAGCAGCTACTGACAGGGATCTATTGCCCTGATGCCTGTAGTGCAAGACACTCATCTAGAGGTAGCAAGAATTTCATATGAACACTTCAAAGCTGCATGGATGTCCTAGAATCCCGGTGTTCTCTCACAAGTATAGGACACCTTTATGCCTCCTGTCCTTGTGAAGGACATGACGTGGTTTTGTGTTGTGTAAATCGTTAAAACAGCTCTTCAGAAAGTAGCAGTGAAGATGCCCAAGTGACAGGCTAGGCCACTGTGGCTTTTAAATGGGGATGCTGTCAAAATCATTGGTCAAACAAGAAAAGCTAATGTACTGCAACAGTAACAAAATACTTCTAAGGAGGAGTCCTTTTCAGAATGATTTTGTTTACTTTTAAAAATAGTTTAGAGTAGGTGTTCTGATTTTGTACTGAACAATTTGTATGGTAGTTGACGCAGTGTTTTCTTCCATCTGAATTTCTAACTGTATTTCAGATGTGCTTTATACTTCTTTTCTTCACTAAAAAGGACATTCACTCTTGAAATAGTCGGTGACAAAATTTACCTCTGAGTATTATAATTTTCCCCTGTTATTATTGTTGCATTTTTCTGGATATATTAGCATACTGGGGTATGAGGAGATAGATTGCATACAAGTGAAAAGGAAAGCAGCTAGAGATGCATTTCTGTCAAATACATAGTTTTTAATCTTGCCCATCTCCTGCATGCTGCTGCCAAATAAAAGGCCTCTTAACAAGCGTGGAGCTTGTTAATTAATGTTTTTCCAGTCCTTTCTTTAAACTCGGGCATTTTAATTTTCACTGAAATATAAGTTTTGTGGGAAGGGAAAAACTTGTTTTTAAAATAGGAACTGTCTGTGAAAAATATGCTGGTTTTAATTTTTGTGTCAATGGGCATGTAAGGTCATATGGATGACAGCTGTCAAGTGCCTCCTGAAAATCATGGGATAAAAGTGTAAGTTTGCTTGGGTTTTATTGGTAGAAAACTAAACGTAAGTACACAATACAACAATGTAAACTGTCTTAACCTCGCTTCTACTTGTGTGAATGTTGTAAAGCAGTGTAAATGTCTCGAAGCTTTCACGTGCCACCTCTATTTCTGATGACTGCAGTGATTTCTCTTACTAGCTTCTCTTTTAATATATGAGTATAATTGATCCCAGCCATTCTTTTTAAATGTTTCAGTGTGCTAGTTCTTCTGCAAAATAAACCGCATATATTCATGTTTCATGGAGCAGCTGTCCAGTTTTCCGTAACTCATGACAGTAATTGATGGAGTTCTGTTCTTTAGTCCTGCTTTATTTTTCTTTGTTAGCTTTCAGGTTTGTTTATGCCTACCTCTGTAGCACATCACCAATTTATTTTGTAAAGTCTGCACATAATGACCATAGAACACTAGACTCATAGGGTTTTTTTTTTCCATGTTGGGGGGGGGGGAAAAACGTATGTCTTGCTCTTTCAGGTCCCAATTCAGATTTTTCTGATCTTTATGCTAGGATTGGTAGTCTTGGGTGCCTCTCGCTGTTTCTAGATTTTTCTGCATTTGGTTATGTGGAGTTTTGCTGACATATTCAATGACACGTAAGATTCCGCTTATGGGAAGTATAAATGTTTTCTCACATCAACTGGATTTATAAAAATAAAATTATCTGCTAGGACGTATTTTTCTTGTTTAAGAGACTAGGTGTTATGTAGAAAGTTAAACCTGCTTGGAACAAGAAAATCCTTTTGACAGCTCTTGTTGTCCCAGAATTGTAGTTTAATTAGTCCTCCTGCTTTCAGGAACAGCTCTTCTGGAAAACTACTGAAATAGCCCATAGTCACTACCTGATGATTTTCTGGAGCAAACAAAAGCAGAATTACTTTCTCCCGAGATTTTATACTTGTCTTCTACACATCTACTTTTAGACTTCCTCACAGATATATATATCTATATAGATATATAGAAAACATATATGTGGCACTTGTATCCTGTGGCCAGAATAGAACAGTGCCTGAATTTACTGATTTACTTGTTCTGTTTTAAATGCTTGTGTTATGAAAGTAGAGGACCTGTGAGGGACAGGAGTGAGACACCCTCTTTCTCTCTGGTTGTTCTTGAGCCCTTTGTCTCTTCAGTTGTGCCCCCTCCCCGCCCGCCCTGTACTTCTAGTCATGCCTTGGCAGATAGGTATTTTGCTGGGTGCTCATAGTATTCACGTCCCATGTAGAACACTTTAATGCTTTTTAAAAAGCAGTGATCCTTCTGAAATGTTTGGCTCTATATGTCTTATCTTGCACAGTTTCAAAGTGTGGATGGTAGGACACACGCACACAAACAACTCCTGATTAAGAAGCTTATTCTAAAGTCTTGAGATTTGTTTCTCTGTCCCAAGTTTTAGTTACTTGTTTTTAGCCAGTATAATAGATAATATTTCTAGTCTTTTCTTGTATTCTACTTAGTGCTTTGCAGCCTGTTACAACAGTTGTCTTCCTCCTCCTTGCTTCTCATGAAGTTTTCATAAATGCTTTCTTTATTGCAACCCTTTCAGGGTATATCACATGCTGTTCTGTAGTTAAAGAGATGGGAATTCTATTAAACGTCTAGAAACAGAAATCATTAAACAATCTGAGTCATTAGGATCTTTCTGTGGTTCAAAGAGCTGTGGTGTTAATGCTGTCACTTGAACACTGGACCTAGCATCTGTATTCTTACAATATATTTGTGAAGGAGTGCGTAATACTTTGAGCAGTGTATTTGGTGGTGAAATTCCTGAGGTTGACATATCTTTCTTCCTCTAAATAGGTTTAATATTTAGCTGCCTTAGTGTTAAGTATTATTTGGTCTCATAACATGTTTGTCAGAGTTGGATAATGTGAAAATAGTTTTAAAACTACAGAATGCTTATTTCTTTGGTCTCCATGTTGCCTCTTAAGTACTCCAGATAATCTGTTATTTGACAGTTACATTGTTTTTGATCAGTTTATGGCTGTGATTGTTTCCCTAGCTCTTCTCAAGCATTCCCAATGCTTTGGCATTAATGGTACTGCTGGAACCCTTTTGGTATGGATTTTTTTTTTCCCCGCTCCTTCTCATTTTAGCAGGCATTGCTCTTTTGATGGGCAGGTGGAAGTGTTCTTTTCTTAGACATCTTTGGTTGGGGTTACTGTATATTTTCTCTTTTCTTGCAGTTACTAAAAAGTTCAATCCCTCCACTGTTCTGTTGAGTACGACTTCTGTTACGCAGCTCTGATCAAGTGAGAGACTCAGCTAATGGTCACGCTTTTTATTTTTTGAGGCTCTGCTGGTATTGTAAGCATACTGTGCATGCTTTTTGTTGGTGGCAAGCAGTAACTTATTCTGTGAATGCTGCCTTTAAGGCTGCAGGTAACGTGATCAGAGGGGAAAGAAGAATTTGAAACAAAAGAAGGAAAATTAATTATTTGTTTCTTCAATACCTACCTGCAAAGTCTCTCTCCCTCCCCCCCCCCCCCCCCCCTTTTTATTTGTCTCAACTTACACGTGTTCAGTAATATGTGCTTCCCGGCAAGATTTAAGTTCCATCTTTCTGTTTTCTAGTCCCTAACAAGCAGAGAGAGGGTGAAAAAGAAAGCAGAGTTGTTATGTGTTCCTGTGTTTGATTTGTAGGCTACTTTTGCAGACTTTATTTAGCTGCTCTCATTTGAGTTTTCTGCTGTTTTTCTTCGTGTTCATGAGTTGTGCCTTTCCTTTGCTGTGGAGATTTTTATTCTCCCTTAAACACATGTGCTTTCCAGCTTCCTGCCTGTTCGCTGTAAGCAAACTGCATGGTCTTTACAGCAGTTCATGCACCTTTCCTTACTGATTGTGGATGCTTTTTGTATTCATATAATTGCTACACCCATGAAATAGTTCTTTGATATATAAATGTGTACACCCTCCTCCCCCCCAAGCTTTTTACAGGGGGTAACACATGCTCAGCACCGGGCTTGTGCTCCTTTAACCTTGCTGTGGATGCAAGCCCAAGGACCAGCTCCTCTACATTTTTTTTTTTTTTTTTTTTTTTCCCTTTTCCTCCTCCTGCATATGGAATATATTGTCTATATCTAACTACAGCACCAGCTATTCTTCAGCTCATCTTCTACTTTAATAGTGCCCTTGGCTATCATATAGAGTTAGCTTGTTATTTCAATCTTGCAGCAAAAGTCCCTATAACTTTAGGATGAAGGATTTACATGTTGCAGCCACCCGTCCTCACCGCAATGTGTGTGCGGTTATATTTTCCTGTGCTATGTTCAGCGTCAGCTCCATCACAAGCTTGCAGCCAAGTTGTGTTCTGAGATCTGCCGGGAGTCTGGTGGGCTGGAGAGATGGGAATGCTGGAGACTGGGGAAAGGCTAGGACTGCTTGTGAAGGACAAAGGGTAGTGGTAAGAGTGGGTTGAAGGTGCTGGGAGAAATAGTAGGGTGATACTGAGTGATTTGAGACTGTGTGAGAGAGAACTGGAGGGCAAAATATGGTGGTGTTATATAATTAGAGATTTTGTTGTACCTGTCCCTGTGTATGTTCACAAAGATGCAAAAGGGACTGCCCCAACAAGTCTTAGAGTGCTCAACTCTTGGAAGTTCAGTGTTCTGCTACCACGTGTGAAGGTGAAGTGCTACAATATGCTCTCAGAGTCATCTTGACTCTGGGTTCTGCTTTTAACTTGATGGAATTCACTGCCTCATGAGTGGTATAGTTTAGAAAGTGGGTACTGCATGTGGGTGAGGGATTGGTTTATACTTTCTTAGATAACAACATGGGGTACTCTAGGCAGTAAAGAGCATATGTTCGCATGCTGGTTGCTTTTTGACGAAAGGTGAGCTTTATTGTATTCTTTGGCTGTTTCTACTTTAAGCAAAGGAAGTGGTTTGGACAGCGAATTGGTCTCGTGTTGCTTTGAATTGAGCAAGCGTTAGTGGGAAAGTGATAATGACAAAAATTGTCATAACTTTCTCCATCTTATGTGATGGTTGATTACAATTTTATTATTGCACTTTAATTAGGCATTTTATTTTCATTGGAATATGTTTTTCTTTATAATCTTTCTTTCTGTCTGCTCACTTGGATGAAAATTTGCCTGAGTTCTGTGTCTTTCCCCACTCCAAACAAATAACTTTTGTCTTTCTTTTAGCAAACTGAAAAAGCTAAGTGAAGATAGTTTAACTAAGCAGCCTGAAGAAGTCTTTGATGTTCTGGAGAAACTTGGTGAAGGGTAAGTGCAGCTATTTATGAGGGGATGGGATCAGAGGGAAACAGTATATAAAGCGTGTGTTGGAATATTAAGTTACAGGGAGAATGACTGTAAATGCCTTAAGGAATGCTTCTCTAAACAAGTTTTGCTAATAAAGCAAATGCATGCATCAGTAGACTTCCACGCTTCCCCAAATATATTTATGCGGTTTTGATGTCCATTTTTTATTAAGGCAGCAAAGGTGGTTGGGCTTGTACTGGAGTTAGATACACTACATCTTGACAAAGATTCATTCTTCAGAGGCACGTGTCTCCTGAGGTCCTGACTGAACTGAATTTTTTGCAGCCTGAAAAAAACCTTGAACTTCTGCATGGACATATGGCTTCTGTGACTTTTTAAAGTTGTGGCATAATGGAAATGAGAAGCAGTTTATCTTGTTTAAAAAAATTTCCCTCTTATTTTTAGGTCTTATGGTAGTGTGTTTAAAGCAATACACAAAGAGTCTGGACAAGTTGTAGCAATTAAACAGGTCCCTGTGGAATCAGATCTTCAAGAAATAATTAAAGAAATCTCTATAATGCAACAATGTGACAGGTAGGTGTGACAATTCAGCTCCTTTTCTAAGAATCTATGTGAAACTGTATTTGTACTTGTGAATATAACTGAAATATATGCAGCTGCAAACTTTTTTTAGTATGGAAAATTGTCTGTGTTGGACAATTTACTTAAAGGAATCACTTTGTGAACCTCCTCTTATTCTTAGCTTGGATTGAAGGAAGTACAAATAATGTATATAACAGAAACTGTTGAAAGAATAAGTACTTACCTCTGCTTAGAATTCTCCATGCTTGCTTCACTTTACTTGCACTGGCAAGTCCGAAGGTTAATATTTCCTGTAAATGTCTTAGGCCTTGTGAATTCTGAGTTACCTGTTTGAGAAGACCGATAAAGATGTTTCTAGCACCAGATTAATGGCTAGCAGTTAACTTCCAAAATAGTGTTCTATCAGTTGCCTCTTTCATGCGGGAACATACCTTTTAAAAAGAGAACAATCTTCTAATAGCTCTGAAGAAGGACTGTTACCTTATATTTGTTCACCAATGATATATCTTATGATTGCTAGTGGAAGCCTTAACATCAAATGTCTGCAAGGATGCAGAAATTACTTTGCATTTCCTCTCTTCTATGGTGTTATAAATTTTTTTACTTGTATATTTTTGGGGGTTTTGGGGTAATCTTTTAAGGTTTTGGCTGTAAATTCTAAGTCAGCTTTCCTAGGGTGAGTCTATTCAAGGCTGATCAGTGGTACAAGAGTCTGTTGTTCACGATTCAAAATGTGAACAGGAAAGGTTTGCACTCTAGTCAGGAGAGACTTTCTTTAAAATATTGATTCCTTTAGTCATTAACTTGGTGAATTGTATTATAGCAAGTGGTCTGTTATTTCTCAATTGTGTTTGTGTTTTTGTGGTGTGTCAATGTTGAAGTTCTGTCTTTAAATGAAAAATTTGCTCTTATTTGGCAATGAGCAGTACTCATCCCAGATTTAAAGACAATCTTTTTAATGCAGTCTGAATTAATTCAGATTTGTTGCTGAATATGTTGCTCAGATGTTACACAGAGCTTGACTGTACTGCTCCACAGCATCTTGTCTATAGGGTCATGAAGGAGGAGAGAAGGTTCAAATATCTATCCTTAAATACAGGGATAGAGATCTCGGAGTACATTGTATCTAGCACATGAAAATGCAAGTTCTTCAAACGTGTTTAGAACCTCTGCCTGCAAGCCCTGATCTGAGTATTTGCGACCTATGGACACACTGGTCCTCGTAATCTGTTCCCTTTTGGCACTGACTGCTCTGAACGCTAGAAGCTTGTTAAATGTGTAGGCAGGGGAATGGGAGGAAAAGGAAGGATTTATGTTTTTTCCCGCATTCCATGAAGATGTGTGATGAGGTTATTTCAGGTGATACTAAAAGGATTTGGGGCCCTGGAGTTTTTTGGGGGGCTTCTCTTAAATCCTTGTCATCCCTGTGAGACTATTTTTGTCTGTCTGGCCAATTGGAGTTTTGTAACAGGTACAGATTAAAAAGGAAGCAGCAATCTTGTTTGTCTACTTAACTGTGAAACTAGATTTGATTCCCAGAGTAGGTCCTTAGCTCTTCCCGTGCACTGGAAGAGTTAAAATGTGTTTACTTTGATTTGTCTTGTTGCTGTGCTCTTCTTTTTATTTCCCCTGTTTCATTTCTTTCCCCTTAGAAAAAGCAAGACATTGAACAAGTTGGACCTTAGGAATTCTCAGAAAGAATTCTTCTGTGGGGTCAGTGATAGGATAGCAGCCCTTAGTCGCTGCACAGGCTTGAGCCATGTGAGCTGACTGGAAGCAATGGTGTGGGTTGTAGTGTGTGTATGTCTGTTAGTACCAGACCAGGATTGGAATAGGTACTTAAAACAAATGTCTGTGAAATATACTGACAGGGAAAAGAAGTGTTGAGAATCTTCTAAACTTTTCACCTTTCTTTCTGTACTATGCTTCTTGTGAGATTTTTTCATTCTTGTCCTAGGTGGGCCTACTCAGCATCTTATTCCTGTGTGCCCTGTCCTGCCCCCTTTTCTCTGCCCTTGTTCTTTGTTTCCTGCTTTTCTGTGAACAACATGTTGCATTTAGTATCTACTGGAGATGTACTATTGTATAACTTTTTAAAGTAAGAGTTCAGAATTTTAGAACACAAACTCTTCCTTCACTGAACAAGATGCACCCATTCTCTGGTTGAAAAGAAGCGTTGGGCTGCAACTCTGCACCATGTGCTTGTATACCTGTCGCATGCCTTCGTGCAAATGCAGTGCTGTGCAGTACTGATGGGAGGGATGATGCACTTTTTAGTACTTTATTTTCACATGTGATGATTCCACAGATATTACAGAAAAGCACTGAGCTGTTGTAGCATCTCAAATAAAAGATGATTAAATCTTAACACTTTACCCTTTCTTTCTTCTCCATGCCTGTTTCTAGAACTAGCTACACTGTATATGCTGAAGCTCTTCTAAGGGGAAAAATGTAGATTCTAAGACAAGCAGTTGATATGGAAAAGGCTGGCCCATGTAGTTAACTGGGACAAGCCTTTAAGCAAATGTGAACAGTGTTTTGAGATTGCACAGCACTTGATGTTTTGAAAAGATCATCTTGTCCTGATTTGTGATAATACACAATTTTTGCTGGGAATACTAGCATAGTGTAAATCTGGCAAGAGATGGTCACAAAAAACAGTGGGTTTTCTTCAGAAGTAATAGTAACCTTCCTCACTTCAGGAATTAAAAGGAGCAAGATCAGTATGTCATACTTGTAAACGGCAGACTTTTTGACTAGTTAGGAGGGAATTGGCCCGCCTTGCCTTCTGTAAAGGCAAGTTCCTATAGTAATAACAGTTGCTCTTTAATGAAGTAGTTTGCTGGTAGTTTTGGCCATCTTTTATAAAGATAGCACCATGTTGCAGGAGACAACCATAGGTCCTCTCTTTTTCTTACATCAGTTTACTAACAAAAAATGTTGCTGCCAAACATGCTGATCCTAAAATACAGTTCCTTGCTCCAAAACAAAATAGCGTTTGATTCTACACCACAATGCAGGTGTTCTGATTAGAAGCCACTGTCTGAGATCTCAGTGTCTTACTTCCTGACTTTGTGGGAGGTGGATGGCAATCTAACTGTAATCTCCTTTGCTTAAGTTCTTTCAAAAAAACCCCTCCAACCTTTTATTTCCATAAATGCGCCATCTAATCACTTTTCTGAAGGATGATCCTTGTTATGTTTACCACATCTGTTTATGCCTTTCGTTTGCAAGTGCCTTCGAGGAAGCATTATGTCAAGTGACAAACTGATGAGTAGCAAGGCAATATGTTCTGTTTATGACAGTACTGTCTCTTCACATGAGACACTTCAATATGAAAGTGCATTTGCAAATCTAGAAGTCTTGTTCAAACCAACACTAGATTCTGTTTAATATGGAAGTCTAGATCTGTACTTGAAATAAGTTCATGCTTGCAAAACCAGGAAAATATGAGTGACTTTCCATGTTCTTTTGCTCAGGAGAGAAGAAAACAAGGCAATCTTTTTGAGAAGGGAAATATCCAATAACTTTGTGAGAAGAGTTAAAAATTAAGAGAGGCCTTAAAGGAGGGGAAAAACAAAGCTTTATATCAAAACACTAATGTTTGGGAAAACTATGTCTGTATTATAATTTTATTAAGCAGTCAGACTTTAGCAAGGCATTGGTTAAGCTAATCACAATTTTTAAATGTATTTGATTATACTCTTTAGCTGTGTTAGTATGTGTCAAACTGTAATTTTTAACAACAATTGTGATGATGATTTTTTTTTTTCCCCTACTAAGAATTCGTCTATTCATCTAACTTTTTTTTTTTTTCCATCTAGTCCCTATGTTGTCAAGTACTATGGCAGCTATTTTAAGAACACAGATCTATGGATTGTTATGGAATATTGTGGAGCTGGCTCTGTTTCGGACATAATTAGACTTCGTAATAAAACGGTGAGTTTTTTTCAAAAAATGTATAACACCTATTAAAATTAAACTGTGAATTAAGACTAGAAGCCAGAACAAAAGTCAGAGTTACGAGACAAGATCTTGGCTGATGCCAAGGGGCATATCTGTGCCTTGGTGCCTCAGGAAATAAGCTCGTGCAGTTGCTCTGACTGTGTCTGTTTGTCCATTCTTCTGTGGAGTGATCAGCAGCAGAAGCAAATGCATTTTGAAATATGAAGATCCTGTCATTTTCTTCAAAATTACTGCTTTGTACAAGGCAAAACTGTGTATGGCTTCTTCCCCCTAACCCTTCCACCTTGCAGTCTGTGAGCAGGCCACTTAGTACATGCGCGTAGAATTGTCTTGCTCACACTCAGTAATCAGGGAGCATGAGAAGTAATTTGCATTACTCAAGGAATGAGAAGGGGAAGGGATGCTAACTAAGGAATGTGAGAGGGAACCAAAACCGAGGGTTTAGTGGAAGAGTCTTAGTGGGCTCGTAACAGCAGTAATGTAGAGGAGGATGCAAACCTGTAGGAAACAGGCTTTGTTAGTTCTACTTAAAAACCAGCTTCTCTGAAAAATGTTTTGCTGTAGATGTCAAATAATCTCTAGTTCCTTTGAGTCCATTGTCTTCAGTAGTGGGCTGTTCATTTTACCAACAAGTACTGTGAGATGGCCCTCTACTTGCTAGCTCTTTACATTTTATAAACGCACCCTGAAATGTTCCTTGCACCATACCTGGGAGCAGAGAGGGAAAGA